GGGGGGAGGGGGTTGAACAGAAAAGTGTTTCAAAGACGTAAAAGAGACAGACACAATGGTAGAAAAAGGTGAGGCGAGTACTATGGAAGTAGTCGAATATGACATACAGTGGGGTGATGGTAGTTTGAAGTGGGAAGTCAATTGCAGGTTAATAGACTTTTTTTGCCGTATGGGTATACGTTGCCAGAGTGCACCACGTGGAGGTAAGTCTATCGCACACCCCAGATTAGAATAAATTACGGGCCAAAATTATACCACCTTGAAGATTTCAAGAATTTAAATGAAAATTCATAGGCTTGGCAGTTAACCGATACATGGTTATTAGGAGAGAATAGACGCCGCCACCTTTCAATCCTATCAGCTTGAGTGAGTCAAGACAATCGAAGTCTCATAGCAAATTGAAAATTGGTTTCAACATTCCTCATACGTAAGATGAGCAATTTCAATGTGTTCTACTCTGTAGATGGGTTAGGCCACTGCTCGTCTGATTGAACAGGAGCTAACAAAGTTCAGTTGTTTACAGTTGTTTTAAGACAGGAGTGAGTGGAATTCTACATATCATAATGTTTCCTCCTAAATTTGAATCCGAATCAATACAAGCTCCTTGGAAAAATCCTTTATAAACCCAGCAGCGCATATATTCATCTGAATTTAAATTTCATATGCTATAAATAAATAAACTCACAAACTTAGCCATTAGTTATATCTTCAAAGCATTGTTTTCTCCTTAGGTACTCTGAATGACTCAATAAGAGCTGGTGTTATAAGCAAAGGGGTATATTCTACGTAGCAACTGGAGGGAGATTAGTGGGTATTCAAGAACTTGCAATATTCCAACCAAACCAAAACCATCGGTTAGGTCACCTGAAAATCGGACAGCTCCTGCAATGGCCGAATTATGCTCGGTTGCTTGTGAAAAACCCGAAACACAAAAGAGGCCCGTTGAGTCATACGTCTGTGTACGTGCTGGTGCGCGTTCGAATTCTATCTCCTCGTGTTGCTTTTTTATGCGTCGACTAGACGCAATCACTAGTCTCCCTACCTCCCTATATCTGTCCTTGTTCTAGATTTCATTCCTTGTTGTTCGCCGGCATTTCGTCGGTGCGGTGGTGAACAAGCTTACGTAACACCACGTCTGTCCAACCTCGTCCCACTCCGCCCCCCACGTGCGCACATATGCACGACCCAGTGTCCGGATTCCAGTTCCCCCTCTAACAAATCAGCTTTCGCACACCGCTGCTTCGATTTACCGCGCAGGTCACCTATTGGCTAGTAGAGACGCGTACACATACGCGCACGCACATACACTCGTATACGCTTGCCTGATGTTTCGTTACCTCTAAGGGGGAGGCACAAGACACTGCGTATCCGCCAATCGGGTCATAATTCTACTCTGTGCGTGCACCCATTCCTGTGCACTTGCGGATGTGAATGGATGAATGAAATTAAGCGCGCAAATACTGCACTGGACCTAGGCGCTCGGAACCTCCCACCATTTTGGCTACAAACCAATTCGCATCCGTAGGACATCCGCAGTGATCGGCAGTACTACGTCTCGCTCTTCAATAATAAAGGTGAGTTGAGATCATGTTTATTTGGGGATGGGGGTTGAATCGAGGTTATGAAGTGATAGTTGACCCCAATCTGGTGGTCGGGTTTACTACGGTAGGCCACTTGACCTCGATTCGGATCAGAACACGCGAGTGGTGGTGTGCACTGGTGGTGAACCCATTTGAAGAGAGGTCGCTGTGAACCAGTGCAGGGCTCGCTCCAATTCCTGCTCGTTCTCTCTCTCTCTTGTGTCCCAATTTCCTCCGTCAACCTCTCTTTTCACGCTACTTTGCAACTACTTCTCATTCTTCTCAAATCTCTTGGGAGATATGGCCCAGTTGCGCACCTCTTCATGTATGACCCATGACAGGTTTCCTAAGTCCCCCCTAGGGGTTTGTGATTGACTTTATTGATAGGCGCTTTCTTCTCCTTCTACGATGACTAAGTTGGAACGATTTTGATATCCATTGATTGCGCCGTCTTAACATGAACTACCAGACCTAGGTTGTTTTAGCATTCTTCCTGATTTCTTTAATCTGGCCACTAGATGATATTGAAGGTGCTGGAGAAGCGATGGGTGAATAATTTCATTCAGCCCAAAGTTTTATACATTTCGGTTTAAATTCTAATCTGTTTTTAATATGCTATCGCCCCTTCATCTAAAAAATACATTCAGAGGTCGACCATTATGGGATCGTTTGAATTCCATTTTCTTTACCTATCAGTATTATTCAGCAAATTTGATTATTTCAATCTTTGTCTACTCAACAGTCATTGTTTTGATGTTCTTGGTTGTCTGGCAATATCCATTTAACATTTCATAACAATTGTGGGCTTGATTTGATTACAGTTGTCAATTTTAAATGAGCACCAAAATTTCAATTTTAGATCATTAGTAATTTGTGTAGCTCAATGAATTCATTCACAATTGCATTCCTACTTTACCATTCAATCTACTTCAAAAGCTTTCATTCAATTTTTCTTGTTATTTTATTTAATAAATGTAATTTGATTAAGTAATTAATTAACGCAGTTAAGATTTTGCTTATCAAGTTCTATATTTCTAATAATTTATTTAAAATTCGACTTTAAAATTAGTTTAAATTATAACTCTGCTTATTTATATATTATTACAGTTTGTATTGTTTGAATAATTAATTTTAATTATGTCTTGTATTTAATGAAATTTTCATTTTTTTTCATTACTTTTCTTAAATATTATTTAATACCGTGTCATCTAATGCTAAATTGTCCCCACTTACGTGGAGGAAAGGGAGAGAAAGTTCCTATTGGACCACATTATTGTTCACATTGGTTCAACGATCCCATTTTGCAATCCTTAATTTATTCGAACCTAAGCGAATAAATTTTCATTACTTTGCTGCTTTTAGCACCACTGCAACAATAACTCTGCAAATGCACAGAAACTCGTTCCTTTTTACGGTATGTGAAATGGGAATTTCGGTTGCCATGGGAAACTGTTCTTCGGCCTCCTTCCTGTTGCCCTGTTATGTGGGCTAACAGAGAGAACTGTTTCCTATTGGGAAAAATTAAAGTTAAGGAATCATTTATCATTTAAAGTACAAAAATATTAATGCTAAACCTAGTAAGTAAGCTGTTAACCGCAAATAAATTTAATTCGATGAAGTACCTAACTCCCACAAAAACAAGACTTTCTCTTATCACTCCCAGTAAATTGAGAATGAAGATAGCTTCTTATTTTTGCTTATGCTTTTTTATAAAGAATATTTCAATTTTTAAACCCTATATATGAGTAAATTTCTTAGCATTTTAGAGTTTTAATTGAAATAATTTGATCGTTTCTACTTTTCTTTACTCCGTGTCAATCCAAAACTTGAAAAGCTTTAGAAAAATTGATTTTGATTTTACACGCCCAGCATTTTCTAAATAATTGATAATAATGATAATAAATATACTGATATTAGCTTTAATTTGACCATTATCAAGTTGATAGTGGTAATAACTTTGACCCAATAGAGGAGGAAATGGGATTTGAATGGTTATATTTGACTTCTTTACCACTTCATTATACCTGGGTGTTCCAAATCTTTGATTGGATGATTTGGTGCGTCGGGCACTTGAATGAATTCATGAATGCTTTGTCTAGAGCCTCTTGACTAGTTAATTTAAGCGAATTGTTGATCATATGAGAACTTATTTAACCTTATTAATATTATTAGTCACATCACTAAGTGACCTTGGAAGGGTACTGATTTCAGCAATATAGTGGGTTTAAATGTCATTGCCAAAATTGACAAAAAAGGTATTAACAATACCACAGACTGGTAAACCAGTAAGATTTTAGATCCGTGGAAGTTTTGTTAATGTGAGGTGTTCTCGTTAGGTGTTAGTTCATTTTCTAAGTCAATTCTCGACATCATTTCCTCCTTTGATTTTTTGTTCCTTAAGGGACTTGAGTGTCATCACAATTCTATTTCCCTTTCAAGAGCGAAAACTTTTATATGTTTGTTTTGTTGTGAGTTGTAAAACTCTTCGTTTAAGCGTGAACTTTTAAGATTGAACACTAGACCATGTAGATGTGTATTGTCCGAATCACAGTAACGAATTGGTGTGCTGGCGATAGTAATATTGCATTTGGCGACAGACAGATTAAAACGATTAGATTTCACAATCTCCCCATTTTCGTCAGAGCGATGCAAACCAACCTTCCGAAAATGACTGCTTTTGAAACTAACATCATAACCGAAACTGTATCAAAGACCATTTGTAACTAGGAAAAATTATTGACTTAAGTTGGAGTTAAAATTGAAGCTCCGTATATTAAAAGCGGTCATCTCGAAGATTGTAACGAATTTTATCTTTCGGTCTCTTTATTGTCACTGGTGATTTTAAGAGGTGGCTGTTATTCATATTTCAAAACCACAAATTGCCCACTCTCCCACCACCAAGTTCTGAACACACAGTTGGTGCGTCCATGTTTTGTTCCCAATTGCTGGGAACCAAATTTAGGAGTGACCCTCGACGTAGCAATATTAATCACATTCATTGAAACATAAATAAACCTGGGATATACCAACATACACGCACACACACACGCTCGAATAAGCACAGCGTGCTTATAACTCGCTGATAAAATTCGTCTTTCCCGCGCTCAGTGAAATGAAATGACTCACTCACAGCCACCATTTGAGGTTTGAGCTGATGAAAAGTTATCGATCGATGGTGCGTGTTTTCACGCTAGACATCTAGCCACGCATTTATGGACTTTTTTTGGTGCAGTTAGTTCATTTAAGCGACTTTTATCTAACCGAAGAGTACTGTTTCCTCCCCTCATATTTTCCAAATCATGGATTTTGGCGATATTCCTTCCTTATCCGCAATTCCTCTGGTTGTCAAACAGGAGATCATAGAACTTGAAGGTTGTTCACTAGAATGCCCCCCAAATGTCGGGTAATTTAACAATTTAACTTTGAACGCATTTTCTTTTATATTATGCTGCTTTAATCTCTCGTAATTTGCATGGTTAACCTAATTTTTAATCGGTAATAAACGTTAATTTGAGCTAATTTTGTTAAGTTATTAGCAAATAGTAAGGTACTTACACGGAATCATTGAACTTCCTTCCGTAAGGTAATGTGAAGTATATTAAAATACCCTGCCAATGAATACGCTTATCCAGTACTTTGAAAGGGTACAATTTGAACTCTTCTTCTGGCGAATACAATTCGATGCTCGATGTCCAATAGCATGCGAAGTAGGGTAATAGCTTGAAATTGCCACTTTCAGTAGTCTCTTGAGGGAATTGAAAACACGAATCTCGTAGCATGAGCGTTTCATAGGCAAAAATGCCTCTCTACTTGTTGCCATAAGCACGAGTGATTTGCAGAAGTACTGCTGACACAAGGAATTTGACATATTCCATGAGTTCTTTTTTTACATTTAGCCACTACTTTTTAACGTTTGCATGCTTTCAAGCTAGAACCTAATGCTGATTGGAATAAAATCTCGTTTCACAGTTAGAACACAAAAAATGGCTATTGCATGGGATGGAGATGAACTGATCGATTTTTTTGGTGCAGATTATTTCAATATCTCCAATGTTGTTTCTAAGATAAAAACCTGATGATTTGCACTCCATTTAGTATTAGCAAGACAATTCGGTGTATTGGTTTTGCTGACATTTTTTTACCTGTTCTTTTTAATTCAGTCTGTTTTTGATAATGGGGAACAAGAACAAGCCTTTTTATAACTCGAAGGTGTTTTTTTCAGTTAACAGAAAAAGAAATTATATTAAATTAACTTACGGAAAAATGTCTTTTATTTCCCCTTTGTCTTGCTTGAGAGTTAATATCTCCACACAATATGCCTTAATTTGCTGTTTAAAGATCGAACCAATTCGACAGGTTCGTGACTTGCCTCGGCTTCGAAGGTACTGATGGAGTGAATTTGAGCAAAGGTAAGGCGATGCAAACACCGATCTCTCAGACTTGGAGAAATCCCCTTATTTTTTGTGGTCGCGCAAATCACAAAGTGAGGCAAAAAATTTGATACATTCAGTACTTACTGACACTAGCGTATGCGCAGAACTAGCTTTTAGTGACGCTATCATGAAACACGTGCTTTCGTGCTTGGCTAAGGAGAGAGGGGAGAGAGAGGAACACAAAAAAAACGGGTACATTCCTTCTACTAGGCGATTTCACTTTTGGAAGATTTCCCATCCCCGTCAATCCAGGGTTTGAGGGAATACTGTCCATTGAGTAACGTTGTTGTACTTCTAATTTAAGCTCATTGAAGAATAATCTTTTCAAAAATTTATTGTTAAGAACGAAAGGTGGCATTCTATATGTTAATTGGGGGGGGGGGAGGGAAGGTTTTGGGTTCGACCTCATTGTCTAAGGAAGTGGCACAATTCAGATTTCCTACCAGAAATCCACCTTGATATCAATCCTTTGCCTAAGATGGATGTTAAGTAATACTTTCTCAATAGGAGATAAAAAATTTTGCCTTTAATATGGCACTCTAGTTTAGGGAAATACTTGCTGGCCATGATGGAAATATAATGATTTATCTTGGGTAAATCTTTCTTTAAGATACCAATACCTTTCTCCTTAAATCATGCTTTTGCAAGAAACTTTCTGGCTTTTGAATTTGACTGATTAAAATTAAAACGTAAATTTTTTGATTGACCAAAATTTTATTCCTTTTTTTTCTTATAAATCAAATTAGCAATTAGATACCTGAGGGAAATTCCTTTTATGCCGAATTTATTCCAATAGCAGACGGCATTTTACTTGGTTTAATTTAATCTACTGGTGATTTTGTTGATAAAAGCGACGGTTCAATTGGACATTTTTAGTCTTATCGATCACCGAAGTCCTGCGTTAAGGCCGAATCAAAGCAAAAATGGACCTTTTGTTAAGGTAATTCCTACCAACCATTAAAGTAAGGAGATTATGGTTACTGTTCATTGTTCCCCGAACATTGTGTAAGCAATGCGCTATGAACCAAAGAATACATTTTTTCACTGAAATCTGGTGTATGCAAGTGTTGGATCACCTTGATTTCGGAATTCGGGCTTCTTCACCACATTTAATTGAATGCTTCGACCTTGACCCGGGGAGCTTGCGTTCAAAAGAGATTTATGCAACTACTACAAGCAAAATAGAGTTCAACTTTTTGCACAAAAGGGACTTGAAAATCGCCCTGGCGAAGTGAAGAAACGTCTGAGCAGATTCAAACTTCCTACTGAAGCATAAAAAATTTTTTTGAGATGAGAAAAATACTGACAAGATCAAAGCCTCAACACTCCAATGGAGCGACTTGCACACAGACCAAAGGCCACTCCTCAACTCCAGCCGACTTTACTTTCCTTAAATTTAATGGGTTTTTTTGGGTAGTTTGGTGCCTTCACGTATTTTTAGGGAAAAGCTTAGGCCGAATTCAGATACCGTAGCAATTAAGCCCTTGGATAAAGTTCACTTTTGCGGCACCAGTTATCGGTACCCACCCACCCCCCGCCCCCCACTCTCCCTCCTCTGTCCCAACTCAGGGAAAAGTCAAAATGGTTATCAGTCAGGTTTTACAATCACACTGGTCCCAATGTATGTCTACCCTCCTTACTGGCAGATCTTAATTCGATGGTTTATTAGAGATGCATTGTGCGCTGTGGAAATCACCGCCAATCACTATGCTAGTACTGCAGAAGCCAACCCATTAAGAGGCAGGAGCAAACCATGTCTCCAGACACTTCCGTGAGAAAAGGTGGAATCACCTTTCTCCAAATCCCGGGGCAGTGACTTGAAATGAATCGGGTTAAGCGATGACAGATGCTAATAGCAATTACTTTCGGTAGAATTCTTGCCTCTTTGTCTGTTGAGATACTTTTATAAATTATATCTTAAATTTAGTTAGTACTCACCCCTTTTCGCGTTTGTTTTTTTTGTGGAATTGTTTGCCTGCCCGTTTTTTCGAAAATGAACTAACTAACACCTTGGGAAAAGTTACTTTATCAAAGTTAGCAAATTTCCGTAATTTGGCTGTGGATACCCAATTTCTACAGATCATTTACTTTCATTGTGGCAATTGTTACAAATTCAGCGACCACGCAGTATTGTTAATTGCTCTGTCACTTCACAAATGTAACAGAGTTTCAACATGTAAAATGGCATTATGTCTACAATTTATTACCTAATTTGGCTCGCCACAACTAGTCACACCATTTTCCCAACTTGTGTAGATCAAGTGTCAACCAGTTGCCCCTACCGCAAACTACAGCAAGCATTCCAAAGCCTCTACAGACCGATCTTGAAATGCATCTGTCTCAGGCGCACACCTCTGCTGGGTACGAGGCAGCGCAAGAATTCATGCCCTCGGGGGGTCATTTAGGTGACCCCACCCAGTATCCACTGCCCCAACCCTCAGTCACACCAACTCACACCTACTTTCCCCCACCACCCCAATCCCACACCACCGATCCCTATTCATATACAACTTACTCGCGGCAGTATGAGCCTGGCGAGATAAAACAGACGTCAGGCTTCCAATCAGGTGGTTATACAACGAGCCTCTATCCTCAACAGTATACTCCAATGGATACAAGCTCTAATTCAAATCAGAAATTGATGGTGAATCCCCAGGATGTCTGTTTTGATCAGAGTGGCTATCGACAGATGTTGGGCACCATGATGAACCATTTGGTGCCCGCTGGAAGTCAGCTTTGCCAGGCAGCCAAGGAGAGTCTAAGACAAAGGGTACCTTCTATGGTTGTTGGGGGGAGGTCGTCAGGGTCAAGTATACCGGTGTCAAGGACACCTAAGGTCACTAATGATGTCACAGCGATGAAGGAGAAAACGCCCTGTGCTATTTGTGGCGACGTTTCAGCAGGATTCCACTGCAACGCTTTTGTTTGCGAAGCTTGCAAGGTAAGTTGAACTTCATTTATTATTTAGGGAAGTAAGAATTAAATGAGTCAGAAGTCAATTCTCTTCAAACCGCACATCATAGTAATATGCCACATTTTTCCAAGTTTTCTTTGTTTTCTCGAAGTCTGAGGTATTTAAAATAACAGTGGTGGTTGACCTGCTTATCTGAAAATTCGAAACCCACTTGTGCATAGTCAGTGAGTTGAATGGCCTTTGGTATTGGCTAAGCCAATGCAAACCTCTCAATAGCGAGTAAGCATGTAAACTAAGATGATTTGCAGAAACCTTCCGATTGCCGCTTAAAATACTGTCTTGGGTCTGTTGGTTTACATTTTAAAACCTCCCATGAGTACTTAGTTCGGATCATTTCAAACCCCCCAATCAATCCACGAGTAACAGTTTACGGGATCATAATTAATTAACTAGTTAAATTGTTAGTGATTTTCATGAAACGTGAAGGCACGAGAAAACTGGAGACAGGTAAACTATTCGTGTCTCCATTTTGGAACTTTAAAACTTGAATATTGCGTGACAGTTTGGGATAGACTTTACATCGATCCGAGCATTGATTCACCTTTATCTTTGCACTTTAATCACTTTGTAGAAATTACTTAGCCACATCGTGATTCTAACTGAGGAACCCAGGGCGCGGGGGGGGAGGGGGGAGGGGGGAGGTGGTGGTGGTGATTTTCAACTACTTTGTATACAATCGAGAGAGCACTTGTGTGGATAGATGATAAGTGATGCACTTTGAGTACACTGTCTACGCACCGTCCAAGTGGGTGCCTGCGTTATACTTATTGATTTGATTTTAACGTGGCATGACCCGAAATGCTTCTCTAGATCCACTTTACCTCATTTTTCCGCAATTTTATGCTAATGCGTATCCCATTACATTGTATGTATGTGAGTGTGCGTGTGTGTGTGTGACTAAGAATTAGATATAAATAGTAGTAGTGGCGTTTCACTGGTAGCGTCAATAAACCCCAATACAGCCCCAAACTTCAACTACTTTAGAGCTAAACAGTTTATCTTAAGTGAAGTGCGAGTTAAAAAGTCCATGGTAGATGGCTCGAAAATTTGGCGTTTAGATGGAAAGTGGGTCATTCTACGGTGCACTTACTTTTCTTTGGGAGGTGGGGGGAGGGGGAGAGGTACCTCTCTATCCGCAGATTCTCTTGACTGGTTCCCATCCCCCTTGAATTAAGTTTATACCACTGCGATTATGTGTCTGAACGTGTGTGTGCGCAAGCACTTCACTAAAACACGCATTTAAATTAATCTCCGATTTGAGAGATGAGGAGTTTGAATTTCAATCGATGCATATAGACATCCCATCTTTATCTTCAGGTGCTAGTGAAAAGAGTTGTGGGCACTTTTTGCTAGCTACGGATGACTACAAGACAAGTTGAATTTTTTTAAAAATTCCTTTATGTTCATTCTTGTCGAAGCAATCAGCATGGACTTTAGAGACCACAAGAGTTCGATACTCAACAGATCACATCCAGCATGTGGCATAGCCAACATTATTGGTTGATCAAGGGTAAAAGAATATGAGACTTTTATAAGGCGAGTTCTAGAGTGCAAGGTACTTGTGAAGATCTTCCCTTTCCATTGCTTAATCTCCAGCAACAAATTGCAGATGAGGACAATTTTATGAAATCACGAATGCTAGTCTGAAAAAAACATCCTGTCACCTCGGTATTAAGAATAGCTTCAATTCAGTTAAAATGGACTTAAAAATCCGTTGCAGAACACTGATAAATCGAAATGAACAAGGAACGTTGCCTAATACACGAATATATTCTTAATTAGTCTATTTAAACAAATAATTAGGAACAAGGAGAGTAGAAATTCAAGTTGGTCGATTTCAGCCATGAAATGAATCTTTCTTTCCGTTTAAAGTTATGGCACTTTAAGCTTCATACCTTGAGACCTCGCTAAGTATTTCCATTTGGATATCAGAGAAAGCGGGTAGAATTGTTAAGAAAGTTGACTTTCTGGGGATTAGACAATTTTCTTTTCAGTTGAAATTCTACTTGAAGTAGATTTGTCGATGACGCCACTCCTAATTCTCATATGCGAGCAACTTTCTTTCCTAATTCTATTCAATATTTATAAATTAGAAACCACGCACATATGAACACTACCTTCTCATTTTCTAGATACTGCGCTGAAGCAAAAATTTATCCGCAATAATTTTTGGGCGGTTCTTGAACATGTTTCTAAGTAAAAAGTGAGATCATAGCAGGTTGTCAAGAGAAAGCATACTAATTTCGTTCATCGGGAGTGAAAATGGCTGTTTATTTCCTCACGAAAATTGGATATTGACTTCAATTGAATTTGAATTAGAGGCTCAATTGCAGGTGTGCTATTCTTATGTTGCTCTACTGAACATAATTAAGATTAATTGTGCGTTGTCACACTCCCGAATCAGGTTTGATAAACCTTAATGTCGAAAGAGCGTGCTATTTGGTTAATCCAGGGTGACAGGCCATATTAAACCCCCCCCCCCCCCTTGCATTAAAACCGTAGGATAAATACCAAAATATCAAGGGAATTTTGCTATTACCTTTATATTAATTTGCAGTTGGAAACCAAATGTCAACGATAGTTCTTTCCTGCACAATAACTAAATTCTATCTCCATTTCTCGCTCAGTTTTCATTTTCCTGCAATAGCAAAAGCCTGTTATAATGTACGATGAGAAAGGGATGATATGAGAACCACTGCGTGTGAGTGTGTGTGTGTGTGTGTATGTGTTGATTGAGTATCAACTCTGCAATGTTGTCAAAAGTGGCCCATTTTCGGGAGAAATAAGGAAGTGCAGAAGGTGGGACATCGCAAAGGAAACGGAAAGGGGGTGATTGTGACCCCCTCATTCTTCCCTGCGCTTAAATTGAGCAAAGCACACGCGTGACAAAGTACGCGGGGCGTCACCACGCGACCACCATTTAACCAATGAAGTGTTAGGAGAGTACTACCTGATTGGTTGAGCTTTGCATGGCGCGTCGCTTCAGCTCATCAATGCTTTTGCAGAGGAAGAAGGTGGGGGGGGGGGAGAGGAATGCTTATCTGGTTACCTTGACGATCAATGATAATACACCGATTATGCTGCTGCTGTTTGTCACGCCTTAAAGTTCCTGAAATTTAGGTCAGGGCGTTTGACGGCTCCTGATTTGTAACATTTGAGGACGAGGAGAGTGAATAGTCCCAATTTCTCGGTTTTTTTAATTATTTCAGAAATTTTTCATAAGAAGTTCAAAGAATGAAAATTTTGCCAAATACTCTTGCTCGAAGGTGAATGCTTGCGAGGTGAGCAAGGATACTCGAACACATTGCCAAAGATGCAGATTTTACAAATGTCTCAGTATCGGCATGGTCCTACCTGGTAAGGAATGTTTTTTTTCTATCAAAAAATGTCCTAAAACCGTAAAACTACCGTCTAACACCTGCTTTCGGAATGACAAGATATAAATATGACTTTATCGAGAAATGAGTTAATGTGAAAACCATATAATGCACGTTAACTATAAATATAGGATCCAAAGGATAAGAGTCACTTAATACCTTAGTGCATTAACCGGTAATGTCTCAATTGGCACAGGGTTTCAGCTTATTCTTGCAAATACCACTGTTTTCTTATTATGAATGTCAATCAAAGTGTTATTGTACGTACCTCCATATTGGGTTGATATAATTGCTGGTGACTTTCAAATTGTTGATAAGTTTACTATTAAGTGAAATTATTTGATGATCGTTCCCTAATTTGAACACCCCCTCCCTCCCCGACCGTGGGAACTATTGGATAGAACTTTGTTTTCGATAATTAAGTATGCATTAAAGATATTGTGTTTTGTACTTACTGCTTGTTCCAAATTATACTAGCGATAAGCTCTGTATAGCTATTAAGTTCGAAATAATGACACCAGCCAGACTAATGACGATTTGCAGTTCAAACTTGTGATCCCTCACCTATCAAATTTCTTAGAAGAGGTGTTTCAAAAAGGCATTATTTGCTAGCAGATATTTTATTCCTTTCAAGAAATAGGATTCCGATGTTTCATTCAAACAAATTAGTTCAAAGATAGGCTAAAAAAGAGAGCTAATATCTCAATCCATAAGGATAGTTGAAATAAATGGAAGATCGATATCTACTAGAAATTTAGACCATTCAGGACTGAAAAGTTCAAAATTCACTGTTGAGCACTTCCTTTTCAAACCCAGATCTTTGTTACTAAGAGATCGTTTTTATAATTAGTAAAAATGAAAAATGGCAAACCTCTTCTCGAGCCGGATCTATTTAGATCATCGTTCACGTCTACTTCAAACCGGTTGGAAAAGCATGAGCTGCTCGAATGGGTAAATCAGTTCTTAATTGACTGGGGAGGCAGACCCAGTTTTATAAATGCACTCTTAGAGAATATTTACGTGGGTGTTTTTTGGCAAGTGTTGTTACTCATATCTCACCGCTTTAAAGGTTAATTGATGAAGGTCACTGTTTCGGCTTACGTTTGTTGGTTGATGTCAGCATTCCTCCTATTTCAACAGGACCTTCTATGTGAGGAGTCTAACGTAGAAGCTGAGTATTTCATGGCATTCTCATTCTGTCACCTGGATCCTATGATCGCTAGCATTCTAGAGGAATTTCCCATTCACTTAATCGAGTTCAATGGTCTAGACTAAGCATTTTTGTGTCCTTGTCAACTTGTTTGGCCTGGCAATATATGCATATGTATATATTATATGTAAGAGAGGAAAGGGAGGGGGGAGGGGGGGGGTAGAGAAAAAGGAATGCATGGGAATGGAGCATGGAGGAGGGGGACAATGGGAGAGGGATGGGATTATTTGGCAGTATGGACGCATTGGCGCTCCTGAAATAACAACATCATCCTCTCCCCTCTCCACTCTCCCCAAAAGGCAGAAAGGACCACCGTCCAGAATTCGGAACATGTACCTGCTGACTCACTGTTGACTCATTTTTGTCGTAGCGCAGGTCCGTAGGGGTGCGCTGGAGAGGAGGCGGGGGGGGGGGGGGGCGTATTGAATTTCATTTAATCAATCAGCCATTTTTTCTTTTCTAAGGTAATCGATCGATGGGGTTCATACTCATGTCAATGAAAACTATTTGCGTTAATTCCCTACACAATTACTCACACCCCTGGGAACCATTGGGAGGGTGAGGGGCGAGAGAGATTTGAATTGAGTATTCGCTTAATCGGTACATGATACTAATGACTGAATGCGAGTTCTCACGCTGCAGTGGGTGGCCGTAGGAGCACTCAAATCTGAGTTGTGTCTTCTAGCTCACTAAATGAGTAGAGCGAGGTCATATATCTTCCACCAGTCCCACGCGACCTCACATTTGTAGACTCGTCTTCTCTCAGGCTCAACAAAGTCTCCACTCGCTAATTTCTCAGCGTCAGTGGAGATGAAGAGAATCCTTTCGATTGTCTACTGTGTATCATTTAAATGACGAATGTATGCATGTAACTATGCCAGAAGTAGTTTCTCGCCTAGAGAAAGTAGGTACAATACTAGTCAAAAAAAGTCTGTCAAAATAAACTTCTCCCGTCTCTTATTTTGGGGAGAAGAATGCGTCTACCATTCCATGGAAGATTCAAATTCTGCCACCTCACTCTTGCTCAGTATTAACCATCACTATTGACCATGTTATTCGTTGGGTCAGGTGAACCACAAACTCGCATGCCCTCTTTGGAGAATTAATCCTCTTCTCCATTCAAATTGTTGAAGTCTGATTGAGGGATACCTGCTTGAGTTCAAATAGAAAATTGCTTCAGTTTAGGCGTTCTATGAAGACTGCTTTGATGGACTCGCAGTATCTTCAAGGGGCTTCTTAAGCTAGACATCAATAATACTCATGATAAAGCAGTAAACTAGGTCGACAATTAAATATATGAGGAGGAGTGGGGGGGGGAGGTGGGGGAAGGGTTGGAAAGGGGGAGGGAGAATATAGCGCTACCAAAATGTCAGGAGATTTACTTACTTCAAAATCGAAAAGCCTAGCGCTGGTCACATTCTCATAGGCAGTACATTACACTTTGTCGTAATCGAATGCTTCAAAGCTCACTACCAAACTTTGACTCCTTGATTTCTCCTCAATTTCGCATCGATAGCACGTTGGCGGGGTATAGTTAGTTGAATTAATTTAAGTAATCAGTAGCCGTTTAGTGCCATGGGCAGGTAGACAACACTATTAAACTTATTTTAAACAAAGCAGGGCTCATTAAGAGTGCACCCAAGATGGACATTAAGTAATACTCCTCTTTGCCTTCATATTGGGGGGGGGGGTCGAGATCCTGTACTTTTAAATAAACTAATCACCATCTCTCTAAAACGCCCTCAAAAAAAAACGATCTTCACCTGCCAAAAATGAGTTTGGGGAAATTTCAATTGGTTAGGCAATAATTATTTTTAAGACCTACAGGAAAGCAGAATCATTGAAATGGATGAAGAGGAAGCCCTCCTCGACGCCGAATTCTTCCCACTTTCTCTCTCTCTCTCTCTCTCCCCTCTGCCTTCTCTGATTATGAGTGGGGTCTGTCGCATTCATTCAGGTGGTAATATTTTATAAATAGCGACAACATAAATAACCGTATCCAAGGCTTCATAGCTAACAAACAAAATTATTTTTGCTCGATTCAAAAGCCTGGGAAAAGCGGGGGGCGGGGCGGGGAAAAGACGAGGGTGCAATTAGTCATTTGAACACAAAGTGTGTGTGTGTGTATGTGACCCTCATTGTCTTTCTCCAAATAATTTCTTCTCATTGAATTGTCCTCCATGCAAATTTCCTCCACCTTTATTGGAATAGCTTATGACTACTGAAAATCTTATTTGTGCTTTGGAGTCAGTTTAGCAACAGTCAACAATTTTTTGGCTACGGGAAATCATCGGAATAGGAGTAGCTTCAGGGATTAGGGTGTGAAATGGACGAGAGAGATAGAGTCTGATTTTATTCAAAATTTTAGAATTTTGTGAAGTAGGCCGTATTTGCAAATGAAAAAAACATTTTATGAATTACCAACGTTGTCTTCTAATTATTTGTCATTTGTGTTTTTGAGTAAGTTTATGCCTATGCTATTCCAATATCGCACGCCCGTTGACTTATTTAAATGGTGTCTTTAAATTTCTTTATACTCAAGGTCAGACTGGTGGCTCCCAAATAGGAACAATATATATTGGGAAAAGGGAATTTGGAGCAGGAGATCCAAAAAATTTTAATTCACCATTAAGGGATGAGTTGAGATTCTTATGTTAATATTTATTCATATCAAATGGCAGGCTTTATGATAGTTGACATTAGCCCTTTAGTTGACTTCAGGCTTCACAGAGGGAAAGGAACATCAAATTGAAAAAAAGTCGAGAGGAGAGGGGGGGAACAGAAGAGTGCTTTAAAGATGTAAAAGAGACAGACACAAAGGCAGAGAAAAAGGTGAGATGAGTACTGTGAAGTGGTCGAATATGACATACAGTGGGGTCTAAAGTCAAATGCCGGTTAATAGACTTTTTTGCCGCATGAGTATACGTTGCCCAGGGTGCACCACGAGGAGGTAAGTCTATGTTAATATCGAGGATGACATTCCTACGCTCTGGGTTTCAACCACCCATTTCGTACTACTTGACACCATTGAGAAAATAGACCCAAGGAACCCCAATTAATTGTCACATCGGAGGAATATTGATCCTCCCCAGCATGCAAGAATGCATGCTCTTCATTCCACAAAATGCTTGGTTTTATTTGAGTAGCTTCCCATTCCAGATAGAATTTCAAAGAAATGGGGCTATTTTAATGCGGTCAATGTAGCAACTTCCCGCGCGCTGGTTAATTTCCTGTTTGCCAATAGGCTTAAGTTCACGTGACAAAATGCCTCCTGGTATTTATATGAGGCGAAGAAACTGTGATATTGGCAAATTTTCGTTAGCACTTCCACAACACCTCAGTATAAACTGCAGGCAAAGTGATGGAGTCATTCTGGGAAGATTTTCTTTCTCCAAACGCAGTAATTTCTTGTTCTATAAAATCATTTAATTAAAAAAACCTAGATTACTTAATTTTTGTTTTTTTCTGCTTAATATTATTATTATTTGAAGGGAATAGGAGGCATTAAAAGTGGCCAATCATAATTATTGAGAAAGAGATCAAAACTCGATATATATATATATATATATATATATATATATATATATATATATATATATATGTATATATATGTATATATTATTACAATAACATAAGCCTCATTTATTGACCCTTCAAAATAAGTCTTATCTAAGGATCCTTCAGTACAGAAGTTTGCTACAAGTCGTGATTTTACCTTCCCAGAGCAATTAAAAGTCCCAGGGGGGAAATTGCTGCGCAATTTTGACGCTGTTTGTTGTAGTTGAGATGGTACACCTATTCAATTATCCCCCCAAACTGCCTGTAGTGGTATTCAATTTCACTTTCGAAATAGCCTTTTCTTCAAATATATTCAAAATGACTCACCCCACCCCCCCCCCCCCTCCCCACCTCCCCACCAACTGTGTCCCTATTCCTGTACAAAATGAGGGGACACGACCAAGCGGGGACTTATTAAATCACAAGTCGTTCGTACGAGTTGGACAAAAGATCCTATTGGCCCGGGCCGGGATTGAATGAATGGTCACGAAGGAAGGTCTATGAGAGTACTAGAGACTGAAAAGTAGGCCAAGACATAAGGGAGTGTAGAGGCATGAGAGGCTATTTGAGATTGTGACTTCAAGTTAGTCAACTGACTGTCCGTGGTGGTCCTTGTAGTAGTGGGCGAGATTGATAGCACAACTTCAATTTCAATCCCCACAACTTGATCACTATGCTATTGTGTTCATATTAAGCACGTTGTGTTGCGTTGTGTTGTTGAAAACATTAACCAATTCCCCTTAATTTCTTTTTAACTTAACTGGATCATAGTCCTCAGCGGTCTTTCTTGAATCAGTTTCATTGAATGCGTGGTGCAACTCGATCTCTTAAACCACAAAAATTAACTAGGTCATAATCTTCCATTTAACCTATTTAATGGTGATCAGATGTTGATCCTACCACAAATACGACTGTGAAAAATGCATTTTTAATTTCTTGCAAATAACTAAAAGCGAGTAATAGAAGAGCACCAGAGTGGGTGAAGGAGTAGAGATTGAGATGAAAGTCGGAGTACCGAAGCAGTCCTCTTTCACTATTCACTCCTGCTCATGATGTCTGGAACTTATTGATGCATTTGGTGATCCTTTTCACCTCATAAGGCCATTTTTTTCTTCCAAAATCCAACCAAGGACGTATGTTAATACACGATCTGGAAATAGAGGAGCCAACTTCCAATTCACTCAATGTGAACTCTAACGATACTGGATTATTGATGTCAATAATCGCAATGTTTAGAGTTAAGAAGGCAGCTGACTTCAAAAAACATCAACTTGAATCCAACTTAAAGGAAAATTGCTAGTTGTTCGTCGATTTAAATTAGGGTTTTGGCAGGGAAGTAAGGAGCTTCCAATTTAAGTTCTTGTAGTCATTATGGGTACCTTTGTCCCTTACGTCAGTAGGATATATGAGACGTTAATCTGGTAAGAGATAGGTTTTCATTAGGATTGGGGGTAAGTTTGCATTTCGCAAATGAGATCTAATTTGCTTGATCATTTCAAATTATAAAGTGACGTAAGTTAAGTGGTGACAAAACTCCCAGCTTCCAATATTTGACGAGCTATAGAAAGCGAGTAATTAATTTTATTCTGTTCTTTTTAACAGGAGCTGCGGTTTGCCCAGCTAACGACATATCGCTCATTCCATGTCGAGTTTGTGGAGCGCAGTCTTCCGGTTTCCATTTTGGAGCTATCACCTGCGAAGGCTGTAAGGTAAGCTCACTGGAGGGAACTTTCAATTTTAGATCTCTTCCAAGTTCATTAAAATTTTATTTCACTACACTCTCCTCTCCTTTCCAGGGTTTCTTCCGACGAACAATCAGCGAGAGGGACAATCAGCGTTACACATGTCGAAATGGTGGAACGTGTTTGGTTACCCTAGCAACCCGTAATAATTGCAAGAGTTGTAGATACCGAAAATGCCTTTCTGTGGGCATGTCAAAAGATGGTAAGTTAACCTGAGTGAGGGTGTTTGATATTCTTCACTATGGTGGGAGGTTTTAATTAGGATTTCTTAGTCACTTTCAAAGGATAAGCCGCTGATTGAATGAGCAATTTCAGAGCTCTTACATAGAAAAGCATCTACAAATAGGAAAGCCCATAGGTGGTCCAAAGAGACCTGAATGGAGTGGATTAGAAGTTTAGATTTTTTCAGTTACAGCAACAGAAGTAACTTAGTATTCCTATTAAACTGATGATTGTTCCATCATAGCCGATCGTTTAAAAGTTGAAATTGATTAGTTGTTTGAAATTTTTCGTACGATTTCTGAGTCTCTCTCTCAGCCCTGTTAGACAAAGAATAGAAAGAAAGTTTCGAAATCTTGACTCTATTTCTAAAACTAATCCATGAGAACAGAGTTCATTATTGGGATGTTGGATTTTTCCCGTTTCCTGTTCCTCCATCCTAGTTCTTGGAACCGAGGTTATGTAAATTAAGGTGGTTCCACACTTTTTTGTTATAAATAGGCTAGAGTATTTTGTCACTGTGGTTTAAGTGTGCACTAGGTTGAGTTAGGTACAGTTGACACGGACTTAGTGGGGAGGGGGGGGGGGAGAGAGGACATTTTGTTAATTCAACAGATGGTAATAACCTA